CCTTTGCTGTATAAACAGCAATTCTTGCTTGCTTTACTTCAGTGTTAATTTTATCTTCATGGAGTAGGATCTTGACAGCAATAAATAGGGTTATTTGGAGCTAAAGTGATACTCAGTGACAAGCCACGTGGTGGAATTTGCACTTAAATCTTTCTAAGTCACATACCATTATAAGAATAGCTAAAAGATGTGATGCTACCTCCTATCCAGGGTGCTAATCACCATCAAGTTTCTCCAAGTCATATTAAAATACATAAAAACAAATCAGTGGCACTATTACAAATTAAAATAGAAAATATTCGAGGCTCTAAATTGTGTGTGTTTATTCCACCCTGACTGTGTGACAATTACTGGATAAGTGTTGTCCCCAGTGAGGGGAAGGAACAGATGGCAGCCTGCTAAAAAGCACATACTGTATATCAATTTATTAATTACTAAATGCAATCTGCTAGACGTTCATCACAGGATACTTCAGCTATTAAATTTCAGAGGGATTAGAAATTCAAAACAAATTATTTTAATAATAATTAACTTAGCTATATGTATTGCAAGCGTGTTATTTCCTTAGCTTAAAAGCCTGAAATGATTGGGTACCATCTGTCTAACTACTATTACAACTTTTTTAACATCAAAAGGGCATTTTGCTCAGGTACACAGACAAACACTGAACAAAATGAATTAAAAATTAATGTTATGGGCATAGTAGGACACTTAGAAATCTCACCCTTGTTGGTTGATTACTAAAGCAGAGAACCTACCTCTTCTAGGACAGTGATTTGTTTCTGAGAGGCTGTCTTGAAAAGCCTTTACCATTTGTTAGCTCTTTCAGGGTGTATGTAACAAATGCTGATGGTTTTCAACACATTCTTGCAAAGGCCTTACTATATCACAAAGTCAACACCACAGCTGTGAGCTGGCAATCTACTTTTTGATGTGCATGTGATGGCCTCAGAATAATTTTTTGTGCCCCAATCTACAAGTTGTGGAAATACATCCAGCAGGCCAGATAGTGCAGCAATTTACAACTGACAGAGAGCCTGTACCTTCTCCCTCTTGAGTTCTGCCTCAAAGTCTAACAAAATATTGATTAAACAAAGGGCCTAATTTTATAATTTTATTCTTCAGAACAGGGAAATTGCAGGATGATTCATATGAGAATACAGAGAGAAACCCATGCCTTAGATGCAAATTTAAAGGATCCCACCATCTTCAGCCATATCCCCAGCTAGGCAACTCTTTAAAGTCTGAGTCTCTGCTCTCTGGCATTGCCTTCTGTAAGGGTGAAACTTAATGGTAGAGTATGGAGATTTTTGAAATTTCTCTAATTTCTGAATTGACCATCATATACTCCTCTTAGAAATGTCACAGGATACCCATTGCCACAAGTGACCGACTGCTTGGTTTCATAACTACAATTTTTATTACGCTAATTGAAGTTTCAGACTTCTGAAATTAGAAAAATGGGTCATTTTATTACAACTCAATGCTAACAGAGCGTAGAAAATGGAAATAGCTCATTCAGAATGTCAGAGGGCAACTAGACAATTGTGTCATCCTTAAAAATTATATTACTTCATCTCATTCAGGCATACTGAAAAAATTCTCCCACTCTTCATTCTTTCCCTAAAATGTAGTATATCTTTGTAACAGTAAAGATGATTTGTGGAGAACCTCAATCAGCAGTTCCATGGTTTCTAGGTGTTTTTTCTTGTAGTAATTAGTAACTACTAAGACAAGATATTGTCTGAAACAATCTTTGAGGAAGAGGACTTTTGTGGATTTTTCTCTTTTTTCTAAATCTTCTTTTCTTTTTTATTTTTTTAACATAGAAATGAATGCATTAACATCACACAGTTTGGGAGTAGGAGGAAGAATCTGCGTGAAGTCAATTTCAGAATCATTAATGAGATTGTTCTGCAATGAAATGCAGAAAATGAAAAAGAACAGTGTGAATCAGAAGCACAAATCTTAGCTAAACATGAGGCCAACAGCTAATTTCAGCAGTGGAGACTGTCTCAGGCAGAGCTATAGCAACTGAAGAGCATAACTCGGATGCTTTCCCAGTACTTTCTTTCAAAGTTAAAAATCCACCAGCAAACAGTGCATCTGCACAGCACTTGCAATGCTTCCTGAATGCACACAAGCAGCTGTGCTCATCCATTCTGTGTGTGCAAGCATCACTGGTGCATACACAATCACTCTAATTGCATGTTTGAGAAACATAGCAAACACTGATTCTGTGATTATCATCTGGCAATGCAGATCCTAGGAAGAAAGCACGAGTATCTATGCTCGTATGTTTGCTTGCTTGGTGGTTGTCTCTCACTTATCCTTGCATTTTTAGGGAGCTGAAGTTCCCTTGTGCTTCTGAGCAGCAACTGTACCTAATCCATTGGGCACAGAGGCTTCCCGGGGAATTAGGGTCCCGTTTGAGTACCCTTATGCATGGATGATTATTTTATCTCAGTATATCCTGACTTCCTCCAAAAGAAAATGGGGAAGGCTGGGCCAGTTCTGCAGCAGACAGTCCCATAGCTGGAATAACCAGAGAGGCAGAAGTGAGGAGGGCACCATGGAGCACGTCTACTCTGCAGCTCACCCTCTGCCTGGGTTCCTATCCTTTCTTCTTGTTTGGATTCCAAACAGTGCATCTCCATCTTCAACAGGTTCAACACTCTTCTAGAAGTCTGGATTTGCTTCTAAATTCCTTTAACTTCTAGCAAGACTTTTCAGGTTTTAATGTTTTCATGTAACACTTTTACAGCTACTTTAATAATGAAAAAAAACCGAATTCCAGTTACGAAAATATCCTTGAATTTTCAGCCAGAGCAGAGTTCAATAACTAAAGCAGCAGTGGATTCCATTCTTTGAAGGATTGCTTTCAGACACAGAAAAAGACTCAACATGCTGAAGACTAACCAACTGCCCCATAGATAGCCTATATGTATTAAAAAAAGGAAGAAGAGCCAAACAGGATTTTTAATGTCTCATTTAAATTTCCTTTTCCTTAATCTAAAATTAAGAACTAAACCAACTGTTTTCACACTGAACAGAAGGAACATTTCAGTTGGCCCAAAGGCACTCAGAAGAAGCTCCAATAAATGAAGCCTAATGTCATAAAACTGCTGGAGGACAGAGTGGGTACATTGTTCCTTCTTAATTCAATACCCAGGCAGTGCAGAAACTCACCTGGGGCCAAGGGAACCAGATTCAATTCTTTCTGCCTGAAGTGAACTTAATCTCCATATTCCACCTCCCAAGACAATGAACCAACTACTTCTGCAAGGTATCTAGGGACCACCAAACCTCCTAAGCCAGTGGCATTCTATTTTGCATAAATAATTCAAATGCACTGGCATGCTGAGCCCCAGCTAACAAAGCTTTTCCACAGCACGAATCCTTCCTCCCCAACTCTGTCCCAGGCTCAATGAACATTTCCAGTGAGAACAAACAGAACAGCAACGACAAAGAGAAACCCATGTGGCTCTCTCTTGCACCCACAGGTGGATTTGGGTTCAGCCTCCTGCCCCAAATCAAAGAATATTTGAACATGGACCTTTCACCTCTTCAGTGAGCAGCCAACAAAGCACAGCATGTTCTGGCCTATGTTTTTCCAAACTGCTCGTAAAGTTACCCAAAGATTCCTGACACCTATCAATTGGCTGCCAATCTCTTCCAGATCAACACAGTAACATTTACGAGGGACTTTAACCAGGATTTTTGTATGCAGTTAGAAAATACTGAAAGAAACCAAACCCAACTAATCTTGACAGCATTCAAACTTTTCTAAAATTGTTCTAAAAATAAAAGTGGAACATTACTGTCATCTGTCTCCTACAAGAACTGCATAGCAGTACCAAGGCCAGAAAGGTTAGCTTGCAAGGAATAGTCACAGTGGAATAACAGGCTGGCTAACAAAGGGGGAAGGAGAAGCAAACAGCTGGGGAAAGAGTGTGAAGCATCAGAAAAAACACCTGCGGAAGTAAGAAGAGTAAGTGGGCAGAAAATTGTTCCTTCAGACGCTGCCCCAAAAGGAAACAAAGGTGAGAATGGCCCTGTGCTAGCAGCAGCCCAAGAATTTACTGATAGCAGCTTATTAAAGGAGAGGGAGATGCCCCCCATCACCTCCATACAGGAAAAAAGAGTGAGCTAGCTCCTGGTTTTTGAAAAGTTAACTGTTACACTTAGCTACACAGTGAAGCCATAGATGGTTTTCCACAAAAACACATTTTCATGTATCTATACAAGATTTACAATACTCCAAAACTCAGTTTCATCAGTATGAAATGCAATACCTTCTTAATACTACCAAAGCCTAAAAGCAAAACCGTTTTTCTGTATCTGTATACATCTCTGTCTCATATTTTTCATTCTATATGTATTCTTGTTAGTAGTATCAGAGATAGAATTAAGATTTTTTTTTTTTAATCCTTGGAAAAAGATTAAGATGTATTGAAAGATGGGAACACTTCTACTACCACCAGCTGTGCTACATCTCCTCTTTGAATATACAGCTTTGAAAAAAAAACACTTTAGCAAAATACTTTAAATAGATATCATAATGCAATTGTTCTATATTTTAGACAGTAACCTTGACCAAGCATAAGGTAACAACTAGATTTTTTAGACACTAAGGAAATATATGCAAGTTAAAAAATGGTAAGAAATTTATTGTGAATGGTCATTTTCTGGAGAGAAATACAGGTGAAATAGGGATCTAAATATTGCACTACACTGCTAGTAACAAATGAAAAATTATATAAGTCAAATCTGAAAAAACGATATGGTGAAATGCACACTACAGCTTATTCCTCAATCAGTCCTGTTCTGAAATGGTGCAGTAACACTGCAACATTAAAGCTTATTTTAAGTGCCATAATTTTCCCTCAATTCATGTTTTATATAGTAGCTATGTGTGTATATATGTATGTGTATAACACTGGCATACATTAGTTTAAAAGAAAGACCAAAACCAAAGGTAAGTGGAGTTTGTTACTCACCTCCTTCTCCTGACCCAGAGCCATTATCTGAAAAAGAAACAGAGGGGGAGGAAAAAAAAAAGAAAGCAAATGAAAATATTGCTCCAAGTGCAGCTGTTTGATCAGGAACTTGTCACTGTAAAACATTACACAGATGTTACATTTCATGAGCCAGCTGTAAAAACAAACATCTCACATAAGGTCTGGCATCATTTAATATGGTTTGTCCATACTCACTGTGCCTTAGTCTCTCTCTTCCCTGTCAAGATGTTACTCAAGGAACAGCATTATTCAATACTGAAACCAAATATCTTTCTTAGCCTCTTTTCAACTGTTAGACATTAAATTTGTTAAACTCAAAAGAGATGAAGAGTAAAAAGTCTGATTTTTGGAATGTTTATTTTTCCTTACCCTCTGGCCCTGGAAGTGGTACTTCAAGGAGTACTTCAACATATAAATCACCTGACTGCAGAATACCTCCAGAAGACAACTAGTCCTCCAAGTAAAGTTGATTTAAGTCATCTAATGACAAAATAGCTTTTCTCTCAGTTGAGTCAATCACTCCGTATAAAGATGCTCTAATGGCATCGTTATTTCATTGACATTTGACTGACTGGATTAGCATCTGATGAGTGACAGCTTACAACTGCATCCCATTTGCATTGGCAGTTCAAGTGTCAGCAGGACCTGAGCTTCTTCACTACCCCTGGGCAACTGACTCTATTTCAGAGCACTATGGATCTGTTTAGGGATTTTGCATGTGCATCCTGCTGAGCAGCACTCTGCACAGGCTTCAGCTAGCACAGCAGTAAAAACAAGCCATTAAACAATGAACTAACTCACAAAACTTCCTGTCTTTCTTGCTCAAAGTAGGAGGAGAGGAGAGGAGAGGAGAGGAGAGGAGAGGA